GATCTCTTGGCTTTGCTGTTCTTGTTGTAGAGATAATGCCATAAGATAGTCCTAAGAAATTAAATTATAACCATTGTTAACTATGAGATTTTACCTGAGAACTAATGAGTGCAAATATAAGTATTATATCCTATATGTATTATAGGTGCTGGGTGAGGTGGCTCATGCCTGCAATGCTACATTCTGGGAGGCCAAGGAAGGAGGCACTCAGGAGTTGCAGACCAGGCTGAACAAAGCAAGATCCCATCTCTACTAAAAATAGAAACATTAGCTGGACATGGTTGTGCATGCCTATACTCCCACCTACTTGAGGGGCTGAGGCAGGAGGATTGCTAGAACGCAGGAATTGGAGGTTGCTATGAACTAGGCTGAGGCCATGGCACTCTAGCTTGGGTGACAGAGCAAGACTCTGTCTTAAACCTCAAACACACAAGGGCTTAAATACTAAAATGAAAGTTATCTTTCTAAGTATTCCTTTGGGGAGCTATGAACTTATTTCAGTGATACTGTCATTGTTCTAAATATTTTTGGAACTCATCTGAAATTCTTTCTATAAGCAGTAGATAATGCATTCAAGAAAGCTAAAAAAGTTCTCCCTATTTACAAAAGAAACACCTCCTGTAGAAACTTTAGAGAAAACAGAAAACTATAATAAATAAGAAAGTTTAAATCTATCTTCATGCCCACCCAGAGACACATACACACAAATCACCATAATATCATTACAGAGTTAACGACTGTTAACAATTTATATATATATGTATATATACACTCATATTTTCCTACAGTCACAAAAAATTTAAATATATTATAATGTTTTCTTTTCTATTTAATGTTATAAAAGTTTTATTTAAAAAATAACTTTCTGGGTGGTACCTGTGGCTCAAAGGAGTAGGGTGCCAGCCCCATAAGCCGGAGGTGTTGGGTTCAAACCCAGCCCCGGCCAAAAACTGCAACAAAACAAAACAGAAAACTTTCCTAAGATCATTTAATAGCCGGGTGTGGTGGCTCACGCCTGTAATCCCAGCACTCTGGGAGGCTGAGGTGGTTTGATTGCCTGAGCTCACGGGTTCAAGACCAGCCTGAGCAAGAGCAAGACACCATCTCTAAAAATAGCCGAGTGCTGTGTGGGCACCTGTTGTCCCAGCTACTTGTGAGCCTGTTTGCTTCTAGTAAACACACTGTGGTTCTAAGCCTGCCCACCTATAGCAGGCAAAAATTTCATCTGGTTCAGTTCTACATTTTTTTTTTTTTTTTTGAGACAGAGTCTCTGTTGCCCTGGATAGAGGGAGGCAGTGTCATCACAGCTCATAGCAATCTCAGTCTCCTGGGCTCAAGTGATCTTCCTGCCTCAGCCTCCCAAGTAGCTGGGACTACAGGTACCTGCTATGATACCTGGCTAGTTTTTCTATTTTTTTCGTAGAGACAGGGTCTCACTCTTGTTCACGCTGGTCTCAAACTCCTGAGCTCAAGCAATCCACCCACCTTGGCCTCCCAGAGTGCTAGGATTAAAATGAGCCATGGTGCTAGCCTAAGTTTTTTTGTCTCAGTTCTAAGTTCTATTCACTAGTGCAGCTCCTGATGTATTTACTTCTCCTTTGGACTCTAAGGCTCAGAATACTCACCTATCTTTACCTAGTATGTGCTATCTTCTAGATTCCTTTTTTTCACTTTTTCTGACTAGTCAAAATATATCTTGAATATGTGCACTTCTCTGCATCTCTACCACTCAAGCCTAAGCCTTGACTATTGGTTTCTGCTAGGACCTGTACCCTTCCCATGTATTCTCCACATAGCAGTTCTTTTTTTTTTTTTTGCAGTTTTTGGCTGGGGCTGGGTTTGAACCCACCAGCTCCAGCATATGGGGCCAGTGCCCTACTCCTTTGAGCCACAGGAGCCACCCCACATAGCAGTCTTTTACAAAGATGAAGTAAATCATGCTACTTCCAAGTTTAATATTTGGCATTGCTTCTCTACTGCAAGTAGAATAAAATTCAAACTCCTTACCCTGACCTTTACAGTTCAATATGATCTGGCTTTCGAACCAAACTGAGTAATTAACATACATGTAGAATGATCACTTATCTATTCAAAAAGTATCAGGAAAATTTTACAAGTACATTAATTAATTAATGCTTAGTTCAAAAGTTTTAGATAATGGAATTCACATTTCAAAAAAAAAAAATGAGCACTTTAAATAACATATGAGGAAGACAAAACAAATTTACCTGATCTATCTGATCTTGTTGTCCTTTGTATACAGTTTCAGGATCTGAAGGAGGCCGCAGATGAAATTCTGAGTCACAGAAGTTTCCATCACCGTCTACATTGTGTAGGCTTTCCCAAACAACTTTTTCTTCGGTAAGAAACCCCTGATCTGTTACCAGCAAATACAGCTGACCCTTAATAAGAAGTAACAAAAGTAAAAGGAATGTTAAATTGATTAAAACTATTTAATATACTTCTTAAGGAAAATTTTATAATTTGTCATTAATATGTGACTTATAAACAGCTTGTGGGGCTTTATAATTTCATTTCATAAAATAAAAAAATATATAACAAGTAGGATACAGTCACAAAAGTGATACTACACTGTCTTTTTATTTTTATTTTTATTTTTTTTGAGACAGAGCCTCAAGCTGTCGCCCTGGGTAGAGTGCTAGGGCATCACAGCTCACAGCAACCTCCAACTTCTGGGCTCAAG